CTGTTCTAAAGATACCATACGAATCATCTTTAGCTCCGAAGCAAACTGTGGACGGCGTCATCTGTATCCATCCCATGGCTGGATATCAGTAGATTTGTGATGGAATTCTTGATTTTCTACACAAAAACATACGAATGGGATGACAAGTTAGATGGCTAGACGCCTGCTGCCGGGAAAGAAAAGGGAGACAAACAGACTTACAGTGCAGAGAGACAGAGAGGGATAAAAAGGGTCTTTTGGAAGGGGCTTGATTCATCAATAGATAAACAAAATTTGTTTTCATTAAAGTTTTTCATGGAGTTTTTACGTACCATTAATTATCTCACAATTGCTGCCTTCGTATCCTTTTGGGCAAACACATCTATACCCTTTGTCTGTAAATCCAGTCTGACAAGTCCCATCGTGTTGGCAAGGAGTTTGTCCACAAGTGTTCTAACAAGTGTGGTAATAGAGGTTGAGCGCAAAAATATGCAAATGAGAGGAGCAAATGGTTAAGATAATTTGAAATTACAGTTGAAATGTAATCTCTGATGATTACAGGAAAATGGTCAGCCAATGAACCACCATGTGAATAACTTGAAAAGTGGAAATAAACTTTAAAAAAAATTATATCAAAAAGGGTAAATCGGTTAAGAATACACTGACCATTGTTCCTCTGTAGTTCACTGAGAGCCTGAGGTCCTGAGGATGTTTACTGTGTGTGGTATTATTCAGCTCGCATTAAGTGATGGACGGAGAGCCGTTGAAGAGTTCAACGGAGAGCCGTTGGAGAATTTATTAATTAACAGTACAAAGGGAAACTAAAGAAAGGAAAGCGTCACTTGCTTAAGAATGCACTGACCATTGTTCCTCCATAGCTGTAGTTTGGCCAGGGCTTGAGATCTTGAGGATGTTCATTGTGTGTGGAATTATTCAGTTCACATTTAGTGATTGACGGAAGGCTGCTAACCACTACCTCGTTGTAGCTGACGCAGTTGGGTTCCATGTAGCATAGAGTGGAGCAGAAGTCTTGCACAAGGGATTCTACGGTTCTTATAATGTGATTTATGAGCCGTTTACCATGGAAAGCAAGAGATGATGTAAATTCCAGTTTACGACATAGGTCTATGAAAAATGGAAGGTAATACGATCAGCACCATTTGAGTTTACGTGAGTTTACAGCTCACAACTTCATATCTTGACGGGGAAAGAAGCAATTTTCTTTTTCAAGGGAAATTAAGATTTGGGCAAAAAACTTGTGCAGTAGTCTGTCTTTAGGAGGAGGTCGTAATAAATGAAAACGAAAATTATTTCGAGAAAGGAAACATTTCTAATGCATTGAATTAGGTCCGCTTTTTGAAGTTTCACCGATAACCGATCGATAATTCATTATTGACTATACAACTCTTTTAAAAAGTACAATTTGGAATTCACAGCATTTTTAGGTGGCTTTTACCTGTCATTATCTCTTAGACAGTCGAGGAGTGGTCAAGTTTATAGAAAGCTGCATACTAGAATTAGTATTTCCTTCCTGCAAGCCTTGAGTGAAGAGTGTGCTCTTTAATTACCTTCAGTTTTATGAATGTTACTCCATGGCTTTTTCAAAAGATGAGTCCCCTACTAACTCTTTACTACAACCTTTTGTAATATTCCTTAGAGGGATAACTGAAATAGCAGTATGAATTATGATTAAATTCTCTGGGGTCCATGTTGGCATGATGAAGATAATCCATCCTAAATATCTAGATGAGAGGAAGACCAAAATGTAAATAGATTGTCGGGAATAAGGGTACAATTCCCTAACCAGAAGCAGTTTTACTGACCATGATGAAGATAATCCATCCTAAATATCCAGATGAGAGGAAGACCAAAATGTAAATAGATTTTGTCGGGAATAAGGATACAATTCCCTAGCCAGAAGCAGTTTTACTGACCATGGGTTTGTTTGGTCTTATAGCTTTTGAGAGTGATTTCTATCTGACAACACTAAGGAGTGAAGCTGCGTTGCTATTATTTTGAACCATAAGTCAAAATGTCAAAGGACTGTTTCCGTGAAATCCATATTCTTCAAAAATTATCTTAAAGGTGTGTAGGCTAAGTTCAAGTCTCTTAAAGAATAAACACTTCATCTAAGGAATGAAGTGACAATCAAGAAAATAAAACCTAAGGTGCACATTAGCTACTAAAACTCTGCTGAATTGAATAAAACTTCAACTCACTTTCTCCTTCCGTCTCTTCTACTATCAAGAAAGATAACAAGACCAGGAAGAAATAAAATCTGTTCGAAAACACCATGTTGAAAACTAACTTGAGTAATTCCGTTCAGACATAGCTGGTGACTTCTGGAAAGCTTCTGAGGTTCTTTTAGCGCTTTTGATATTACGAAAGTACGAGGACATGCATTTTTTTATGCGATTTTGTTCCTTGTAAGGGCTATGATTGGCTCAGAATTTGAGTATTATAGATTAAAGCGTCATTCAGTCTGATCCAGGTGAAAAGAACCCTAAGGAGCCCCACTGATTGAAAAATACACCAAACATCTCTTTTGCAAGATTATTATTATAAAAGAGAAAGTTACTGTCGAGTTTATAGGTTGATGGACTGATTCACCACTCATAACGACGAATTAAGTAAAAGGATACATCATTTGTTAATCTTTGAGGTACATGCAGAAAACAAAATAACCCGTCTCTATCAGTCAATTCGTCATTCGGCAAAATTCGTTTTAAATTTGTGAAAAGACAAAATTCACATAATCTAAGATATGCGCTTTAAATGGTCTTAAATTTCCTAGTTTTCCCACTTCAAAATATGTTTTAAAGTCTTAAAGCTAGCACATTGAGGAGACTTGAAAAATATATTACAGGCAGTCATAAATTATTCAATTAAGCAATCGTAAGATGCACATTTTAAATTCATCAACCTGAACTCAAATTAAATGATACATTTTTTTATGCATAAGTACAAACTAACAGTTCAAATTTCAAAGAAAATCTGATTCAAATTTGGAAAAAAGGGCGTCACTAAATTATTTTAATTATTTGAAGTAAATTTTCCAAAGGGGAAGGGAATCTGTACATCATCTGCTGATGATATAACTTAGCTTCATTTCTTCGGCTGTAAAGTAAACAGCCTGTAAATATTATGCAAATTTCGGCTGATAATGATCAGGTCCCAAAACCTTAATTCCATAAGTTCCTTCTTTTATCAGAAACATGACTATATTTATAAAATTCATAAAATGTGATTCGAAACGAATGTTCTGCTTTTATTATTATATACGTTAAAAAAGTTCAAGGTCACTATAGAAGCTTACGTATGTGTGTAGGAATTCAAGCAGAGCGTTTTAAAGCTTGAAATAGAAATTACCCATTTCATGGAAATACGTGCAGACTCCCACTGATCAAGATCTATTCGCACCATAATATTGCTTTTAAATTTTCATTGTAATAAGCTGGCCTTGAAGCTCTTTGTGGGTGTTGCAGAACTGTAATACTGGAAAATAAAGGAGATATTTCATTTTCTAAATGGAATATTCAATGTTGATGTTGATGCGCACAAAACAAATATCAAGACTGCTAATGCTATTCAAGAGAGAAAAATAGATGAGATAATAAGTTGTCAGAGTAATCATATCTTTCCCTTAGCTATCTATGATCTGCCCCACGACTCTCTCTTACAAATATAATGTACACCACAAAAGGACTCAGACTCTCTTCTCTGACAAATTCGATCCAAAAAGCTGTCAGGAAAGCCTGACAGCATCTCGTCCAGGAGGGGATGTAATATTGTCGCTGGCAACCATCTTTTCACCCGGCTATTCATTACTATAATTGCCCACACTTGTCCCCAATACTTATGCAATTGATGTTACGATATAACTACCGAAAAAAATCTTTACACGAGAAGAGTGTTCTTTTGAGCCGGTGCTGCACATTGAACGTTGTTGAAAAGAAGACCCTGGCTTTTCTCCTAAAGGCTTTCTCTTTTCCCTTATGTGACGGTAAGTTAGTAATAAAGTATACCTTGGATGGCAGGGAACAGGTTAGGATGTTACTGATTTAACTCTTCCTTACAACGCATCATGAAAAATCAGGTATTGCGAAAAGCTAAAAATTCACAATCTTAATCTCGCATTTTCACGAGTTACGAAAATTATATCTAAAATTATTATAAGCCAATGAAATCGAAGTTAAGTTTTCTTTTTCCTTAACCCTAACCCTTTGCCCACTTTTCCTTCTGTTTTTACCAATCAATTTCGGATTTCATTTAATTTGTGTGCAAGAGGCTTCGATTTTGTATTTCATTGGTCGGCGGCATGACCGCGTCGACACGCGCTTGAATGAGGTGTGAAAACTCTAAATTTCTTTGGAGCCTAAAAACTCGAGGTATATTTCACGCGAGTTACCTCGCTCTGCTTAAATAAATTGATAAAATATGTTGGATTTTCAAACTTTAACGAAATTTGCAATATTTCCTCTATAATGTGTCGGCGCGTGACAACAACCGAAATTATTTCTATTGTCCCACTTTGAAATAGATTTTCTCAGGAACCTTTAGGAATATCTTTAAAAAGCAGCGCGCGCAGGACGACCTTATTTGGCACCCTATTTTTGGACAGTAGCCTTAGATAAACAAAGTTTTGGACTCGAAATATTTCTTGGTCGTTTTTGCCATGTCATTTATTCATAATTTTCGGGTAAAACACATTTACCTCAGTGGTAAACCCGAAACAGTTGTAATTAAACCCTTTTTCCGTGCACGAGTTTTGTCTGCATGCTATGTTATGTAAGATTTGGTTCCCGCTTTTAGCTGTGCGTATATCGAGTTGGCCTCCACCTCAACATTTTGAAATATCTCTTTAAACAGCATTCTGGTAACATCCACGCTGAATACCATATAATTATTACTTTAGCAAGTCTTCGGACTTCAAGCTCACTAAAAAGAAATGTTGGTAAGTTTTTATTGCTCCTAGATGACCTCATAGATATCAAACACTACAAAATCTTTAAATACCCGCAACAAATTAAGCTTCATCTTCAACATTCAACAGTTTTATGATGTTCAGTTATATGTGAAACAGTAACGATAGGGGCATTTGGTCGGTACCAAGTAGTAGACGTAAAAGGAACTGCAGTTCTTCACCCTAATGAAACTTGTTTCCTCACAGCACCGGTTTGAGCCCTTGGAGAAGCAGACGGTCCCTTTTACTTCTCCCTCATCCACTGTAGGATGATCTCCATTCAACCAGCCTGGAAATGTCGTACCGCACGTGTTATCGTGTGGACACTCAGTCGGCATTGTTATTCCTGGAATGTCCAGGAAACGATACCAATCAGAGTTGAGATTTTTGTCACATTCTGTTTTATACGGGTCGTGGTGGCTTACGTCTCTATCATCATCGTGTAGAACAGTGTGGAGTTGGCATACATCGGCTAGATGGTAAAAAATCGAATTAATCTTATAATATAGTCACTTTTTCGACTTAGAACAAATAGAAAAAAATTAGTCTTAAAAAAAAATTAATTATGTATTGACCGTTGTTTTCATATAAGCTGATTTGATATCCCCTCTCTGGAAAAAAAGGGATTTCACCTCAAACCATGGCGCCTGTCACTTGCCAGGCATTTCAGTATGAGTGAAGAGAAATTGTCAGGCAAACGTGCAGACAGAGAGATAGACATCTAAATGCAGGTATCAGGCCAGAAGACGTTGCATTTCCTATCCTAGAACTAAACTTACATAGTGAGAAAAATGAAATCAACAAACCTTTGCATTCAGTGCCATCCCAGTAATATCCAAACTTACAGGTGCAATTGTATGATCCTACCGTATTTTTACAAATGGCAGCACCCTTAGCACATTTATTGTCATTTGAAGCACACTCGTCAACATCTAGAAACAACAGCAAGGCATTGGTAATATGTCAGTCTCATTATCTTTTACATCAAATAGTTAACAAAATATTTCACAAATAATTCGGAGATTGATTTTTGCCGATGCTCGCCTTTGCGGGTGTCAACGTGCCCCGTAATGCTTTATTAAAAAGTAAAACTAGGAGTCAGTCCCTAAAATGTGTTCCAAACACATGCATATGTAGGTGATCCATTTCCAAACCGAAAGATAGCATCAAAAATTAGGAATAAGAATACAGAAGTGTATTTTAATTGAAATCTTAATAATTGACAGGAGAAATGTCGTATAGACACAAGTGCATTAATGTTTGTAATTTCTCATTTTATGAGATAGATTGTAATTATTTTCTTATTTAGAAAAACCAAAACTATACGGATGACCACTAACCAGGCAATACTAGTATAGTACAATATTACTCAACCGTGCAACATTGTTCAATTTACAAGTTACAGGGAGTGCTTCCTTTGTCCGCTCCTTTGGTTCGAAAAGAAGGCCCCTAAAGTTTTTTTGCCATTGTTACGTCTAGGTTTAGATCACTCACCAAAAGCCACTACGTTTCTTTGCTACCAGTCGTGAAAGGCCAGCCTGGGAGTAAGATACTCACTCGACGACCAAATGTCTCTAAAATTCAACATATTCAAGGCAATATTTTGCTATTTCTCGCATCTTTTGAAACTAACCTTTTTCACAATTTTCTCCCTCGAATCCAGAAGGGCACAAGCATCGATATCCCTTGAATGTGAAACCGGACTCACAAATTGCATTATTTTGGCACCGTGAATTCTTACCGCAGGCGTTCTGAAAAGGTAGAAAAGAGAAAGTGAAACAGCAGGAGAAAGATCTACGATAAGTGAATAAAGGGATAAAAGTTTCTGAACACGTCGGTGATCACGTATAATTCTATCGAATATAAGGCGTCAATTCAAGAAGGTAAATTTTAGTCGTAACTCACCTCAGAGCCGCGATGATAAAAATTGACATCAGTTATCAGGTCAGTATCATAATCCAGATGAGTTGCGTCATTCAATTCGCAAACATGAGCCATTCCTCCAGCCTCTGGCTCTTTTTTGAAGTTAGCACTAACGCATTTGTCGTTCATGTAGCAGAAAAGCTCACAGTGATCCAAGTCCTTAACTTTTTTTGTATCGATAGTGTGGTTTACAAACCGTCTTTCAGCAAAAAAGAAGTTATCGGGAAACAGCAGAGTGCGATGACGTTCTGAAATAAAACAATTGGAGGGAAGAAAGTTACCATAAAAAGGCAATGATAAAACAACAGGTTTACATGAAATGGGCAAGTTTGCCTTAAGATTCTTAATTTCGCAGTCATTTTATTGTAATGCAAGAGCATGACCTTAATTTGCATACATATGCATTAGGCAAAGAAGAGGCACCGAGCATGCCTTCTCTTTTTCAGCTGAGGGAATTATTTAAGACAATTGCATTTCATTTCCCTTTTTAATTTCGCCGTCACGGTAGCCTAAACTCCCTAATGATAACACATTGGAAACAATTGGAAGACCCTTTGGAAACATTGGAAACCTTTGAAAATCCTTTCCGATGTAATTTTGCGAGAGCGATGATCTAAAAAAGTGATATGTAACCCGTGATAGAGGAAAATGGCACGAATAGAAAATCATTAGATCCTAGTCATGGCGACAAATCGTACGTTGGTCTATCACCTGCTGCTGCTTCACAAGCATCTTTAGTTACTTCTTCAATTTTGGAATACTTTATGATGAGAGGGAGCTAGGTCGAAAGCCGTCACGAAAAGTATACCATTAATTCTCTTCAAGCATACCTTTTTTTTCATCAATATTGAGAGTTTTGAGAGGAATAAACGTGCCTGCAAAGGTTTCCTCGACGGATTGTCATGAGAAAGAGGAAATTGATGTGGATTTGCATTGCAAACAGCCATTGTTGTCATGCTTCACGTAGTAGATTGATCTTCGGGTTAAGATGTTTTTGACATGACATGAGGATAGAATATTCTTATTTCCATTGTTATAAGCAAAAGCAATATTAAAAGTACATCAAATTTCGCATTACTATCATAAAAGCAATTGTCAAATTGTCAATTTTTAGCCCATAATGGCTACTACATATTGATAACCTTAATACCACCCGTTAAATGTCACAGTTTCCTTTGGGTGAATTTATGAACAAATTAAATCGGTAATTTATCCTTTTTCTTTTGTTGAAAATTTGTTATTGGAGCATTGAGAAGATTTAAAGAAAGAAGTTATGGCTTCTGACACACAAGTCTTTTGAATGAATGGCAGATCTCGACGAGCGTGACGTTGCAGTTTGATAAATAGAGTAAAGAAAGTTTATATTGATCGAAGCCAGGAAAATTTACAATTAGGGTTATTTATTTAATTTTAAGGTACTCCCTTCAAAACGTATTCTTAAAGTTTTTGACTCAAGAACTTCCCCTTAATCAGAAATTTTAGCTGATCAACATCTCGTGATGGGTATATCCTTTGTTCCAGCTTAACAAATGTATGATGCTGTAAATTCTAAGACTAAATTCCGCCATTAGCCCGGTGTCTTATGCAAAAACAGTTTTCGATTTCGTTAAAGAGCAGCAACAAATCTGTCTATGCGTGACTTGATGAACAAATCCATCAAGATTCAGTGTTTCAAACTACAATGAAATTTGCGACATTATCGTGCGAGGTCTTCAATGGTGATCGTGACAAAATAAATATAGTTGACCGGCATGAAGTTAATCTTAAGTTGCCTTTGTTACTAATCCTAACTTGTCAGGTTTGTTTTGTTTCTTGTTTTTAAATTTTTTTTGAATGGGAAATGACAAATTTCATTTAAAAGCAAAAAACGGGCCTGAAAACATTCCGTCATTAACAAATCGAAGAAAGTGAATTTATTCGGGATTCGAAATTTTTCTGGATAACTCATAATGAACTCCATCAACTCGTTTATATACTCGCAATTTTGTAGACCGATTGCTTCGAAAATTGAGTATCAACTACAGATAAATACACTGGAAAAAAAATTGAGTCAAGTTTGTTCCTCACCTTCGCCATACGTCAAATGGATCAACAGCGCAGTCCAACTCACGAAAACGAGCAACACAGAACTCTCCATTCTCACTCCTTGATGTCAGGCTTCTATATTTATGTTCCAAGTAAAACACAAAGTCTGAGTTAAACACTTTAAGCACTTAGCAGTGTTTTTAGCGAGTCAAAGCGACTGTTTCTACGACGGATAACATGTTAAATGGCAGTAAGTCGATATCTTAGCACCCGTCAGATTTAACCTAATAACTTTAATGAGATACAGAATATGTTTATTTTCATTTCCCGTTTTAATAATGTATGCGAACAAAAAAGTTGTGGAAACATTACTCGATTTCCAAAAAAAAATTCAACTCTACAATTGCCAAATTTATGGAATTGCGCTATTAACACCGAAAGCGAAGACAAATCCTTTAGGAAAGGTAAGGACCGACAGGCGAAAATATTTAGAGCGAGCAGAAATTTCTGAGACGGCTTCTCTGATTTACATTAGACACTCATTATTCGCAATCAAGTTTCCCTCTGCTTTGTGAGGGAACTACTTCTAAAATTCCAACACCAATATCAGCTCCATGCATTTTTTATTTTTTCTTCGTCATATCTTGATTTAGAATCACCTCGCTCGAATTAACTTTTAAATAGGGTACTTATTTAAATTGCATACATTCCAAGAGTTTTTAGCGTTTTTATATGTATTTACTTAATGAGCTCTGTTCTCTTATTAACCATTTCTCTTGTTCGGGAGTCAGTTTTCCAAACTGTCGGTAAGATGAAAACGGCTCTCGTAACGAACTATTCAACAGAATTGAATTTCATCTCCTTTTGTTTTGAAGTTCAAGCTGTTCAAGTTCAAGTTGATTTTCTGGGATTTTCAATGTTCCAAGTAGTTTGTTATGAAGTGTATTAATAAAGTTTAGGACCATGTTAGAATTTGTTTTTTTCCTTTCATAACCGTCAACATTTCTTGAAAACTCATATTTTTAACTGTTTAAACTTCTGGAAGTACCAATTAGTCAATAATCATAAAAAGTATGGATAAATGCTCATGTCTTGATAGTTGTCTCTCTTATACGCGTATAGAATGAGTATTTTTTATCATTATCTTCATATCATTCATTATTACTCATTTTTTTTTCTGAAAAGCGGTGCTTTGCATTATTACTTCACTTCTTTCGGCGGCATCGGAAGAGAATAATTGATAGGATGTTAAAAAGAAGTACCAATATTTTCATCCGAAACAAAACAAAACAGAGAAAAAAGTAGCTTAAAAAGTGATTCTAATAAGACGGGTGTTGAAGTCCTAAATGTAATAACAGTCCTAAATGTAATAAAGTCCTAAATGTAATAACAGTTGGTCCTAAATGTAATAAAGCCCTAAATGTAATAACGTTGGTCCTAAATGTAATAATGCAGTCGTTTAACTGCGCTAACATTGAGATGTTAAAGTGACAGCTGTTGCACTAAAGAATCCTCTGACCAATAGTCATGGCATATTGCGGGCTCGTTGATATTAATCAGCGTCTTTCCATTTGCTTAAGACGTAGGTTGAGAAGCATTGGCTAAAAAACCTTATACTAATGTGCTTTTGGCATAAAATTGACGGACACAAAGGAATGAGAACGCTGATCAATAGCTTTCTTTATATCATTGGCTCAGACTCTTTAAGTGTAACAGATTTTGACGATATACTTGTGTGATCAGCGCTGAAGTTAACACTTCATAAAACGAATTACAAGGAAAAGGAAGTCCACCGACTTATACGTTAGACAAATTCCGAGCTCGGAAATGCATTTTTTGTACTTTCTTCCCTTGCCAGATTTGTATGGGTCTGAATGAAATATATTCATATGCATTATTGACCAAGCGATTTTGTCATGCGCGCCTTAGTTTAATGCTCTTCCAACGAAACGATGTTTTTTAGGTCAACCGCAATGTTTCATTTCATTTCACTCTTGGAACAAACATGGCTGTACGTGTTTGCTGTTGCAACGGTTTTTCATCCCAACGTTTTTTGTGTATCGGACAATCAGCTTACACCGACGAAACGATGTTTTTCTTGCCTGCTCGACACTCCCTTTCCACAATCCCAATTGAACTGGTAAACGTTGTCGCTCGCAAGGTTTACACCCGAGAAGAGCTATTTGTTATTCGCGCTCAGAACTACCGGTGGTCTAACAATTCTCTCTACTACCGCCTGAAATCTCTGGGTATTTTTAAATATCGCGGCAGACGCTCTGGTTTTTCTTCAAAGCTTTGCTTACAGACAAATAATCAAGCTATCCCTGCCATTTGTTCACGGCGTTGTAGGGATGATTTGTGTGCCTCATATAATTTTCGACAAACGTTTGGTTCTGCTCGACTGGCCAGGAAGCCTAGCTATAATTTGATCACCATTGAAAGTCAAGCTACGGTTCCTAAAATATCTACTGTTAAACCAGCTGCGTCCTCGCAGTATGTCCCCTCGCTTTTCCTTTCGAATGTCATGTCATTGGCACCGAAAATTGACGAAGTAAACAGTGTTGTTATTAATGCAAATGTCGATGTGGTTTGCATAACGGAAACCTGGCTTCAAAGTCATATTCCCGACTCTGTAGTGGCAATAAATGGGTATAACCTGATTAGACGGGACAGAAGAGATGCAAGACATGGCGGAGTATGCATGTATATAAAATCATCAATCCCTTTTACTGTTCTGAAGGATCCCGAGGACGAAAAATGTTCTTTTGAGGTATTGTGGATTAAAATGCGCCCGACTCGTCTCCCAAGGGGCATCTCAAGTATTATTGCTGATGTTGTTTATCACCCACCAAATGCAACAAATTCTATGATGTTGAACTATTTGACTAAGTGTTTAATGAACTTGGAGTCTAAATACTCAAATTGCGGTTTTCTCGTACTCGGTGACCTTAACCATCTGAACGATGCAAGGCTCAAATCAAACTTCAAACTGAAGCAGATTGTGCATTTTTCTACTCGTGGGCAAAACTCTCTCGACAAGATTCTTACCAACCTTCAGGATTACTACGACACCCCGGTTGAACGTCCCGCTTTTGGTCTTTCAGATCATAGCTCAGTTGAAGTACAGTCAAAGCAAAGGGTTAAAACATCGCAAACAATACAAACTGTTATTTCAAGGGACTTACGACCAAGTAATCGTGTTGCAATGCAAACGTATTTATATGAAGTCGATGTTACTGCGATGATCAGAGCTATGACCACTTGCGAAGGAAAGGTTTCGATGTTACAAACGATCATCAAAACTGGCCTGATTCTATCTTAGCGATGAAGCCTAGAATTGTCCACCGAACACAACCACCATGGATAAATTCAACCCTTAAGACCTTGATTCGAAAGCGACAAGTGGCCTTAGGCCGAGGAGACCGAGCGGAGTTTAACCATCTGAGAAATCTTGTTAACCGAGAACGTAAAAGATGCCGTGCGAAGTATTACGAGTGTAAAGTGCAACATCTAAAGGGGTGTTCCCCAGCTAAGTGGTGGGGCGAAATCAAGAAACTTAGTGGAATGGAGGGGTCACGTGATAATGTCCTAAAGTCCGTTCATCACTTAGAAGGTGCTCGTGGTCTATCAGCAGCTGACCTTGCAAACCATATCAACACAGCTTTCTTGGCCCCAAGGGAGGTTTTTGAACCGCTTATCCACAATCTATTTAGGGGAGACGACTTTGTGTCTTCGAGCAGAACTATGAATGATGATTTCTCACCAATATCAGCGTTTTCTATCTTTAGAAAGTTATGCTCTATTAATCCAGTTAAGGCACAAGGACCGGACGGTATCCATCATCATCCATCCATCATGGATATCATGAATGCCTCCCTTCGTGAAGGTCGTTTGCCCTTATCTTGGAAAGAGGCAGATATCGTCCCTGTCCCCAAGCAAAGAGCTATCCAAGACATCAATAAGCACCTTCGCCCTATCTCCCTTACGCCTATCCTTTCCAAGATTGCAGAAGATTACATTGTTCATGAATTTGTGATACCTGCCGTGTTAAAGAAAATCGACAAAAGACAATATGGGACAATACCTAAATCATGCACTACGCACGCACTTGTTAGCATGATCCATAACTGGCACGTCAGCTCCGATGGGAATTCGGCCGTGATTAGGGTGGTTCTATTTGATTTCCGTAAGGCGTTTGATCTTATTGATCACAACATCTTAGTGCGTAAACTCTTAGATTACGATATTCCGAACCACATATTATGCTGGATTGTTGACTTTTTATCGGATAGAAGACAGAGAGTTAAACTGGCCGAGGATTGCTTCTCCGAATGGCGTTACATTCCAGCTGGTGTCCCACAGGGGACCAAGCTTGGGCCATGGTTATTTTTAATAATGATTAATGATCTGAATGCAGGAGAAGCAGAGATGTGGAAATATATGGATGATACCACAATTTCAGAGGTGATAGCTAAAGGCCAAGAGAGCTGTATTCAGCAAATGGTACACGATCTCGCAATACAAGCAAGGGATGAAGGTTTTCAGTTAAACGAAAGGAAATGTAAAGAACTTAGGATTAGCTTCGCAAAAAACGAACCAGAATTTGATCCTACGTGGGTTAACCGTCAGACCCTTGAGACTGTAAAAAGTATAAAATTATTAGGACGCAATATAAGTAGTGATTTAAAATAGAATGCCCATGTGTTAGAGCTAGTTAGGAAGGTTTCTACAAGACTATATTTTCTAAGACAGTTGAAGAGATCGCATGTCGCCACAAAAGAGCTTCTTCTATTTTACATTACATGCATTCGGTCTACTCTAGAGTACGGCAGCCCAGTTTTCCATCACGCTTTACCAAGTTATTTAAGCGAAGACCTAGAAAGACTTCAAAAACGTGCTATGAAGATTATTTATCCCGAGCTTTCGTATGCCAAGGCTCTGGAAATATCTGGACTTTTAACGCTGTATGATAGAAGAGAGGCAATCGCAGCAAAGTTGTTCAATGAAATATGTGCAAATCAACCTCACAGTCTTCATAAACTACTTCCAAGCAAATACCAACCTGGCTACTATCTGAGAGAACAAAGAACATTTGTTTGTCCGAGGTGTAAAACTGAAAGATGCAAGAATAGCTTTCTCTTAAGTTACGTTTATCGTAGGTGATAATTAGATATTAATTTGTTTCTTATTTTACATAGGAATTCGACGCATG